ATTGAAATGAAATTCTTCTCATAAACTGAAATTGAAGTAGCACGTCAAAAATGGATTGCCCATGTGCAACACTATCTTTCATATTTGTGGCCGGATTTTAACGATTTTAACAGAACTTGCATCTTACAAATGGGAAATGAATGCAAGTGGAAATGCGCTTTATGTAAATCGTTTACGATTACTTTTTAACTTCTTTAGTTTTTCGTGAATAATTTGAAAACGGTTGCTCCTAATTAAAAATTTTGCTCTAGAGAATTAAACACCATAAAATTACCTTATCAGCCATAGTTAATCATGTGGCATCAACTAAAGTAAAACACAAGTCCATTAAAAACACTAGCTTAAAGATGCGCAACTTATCTTAAAGACTCGCTAAAGACAATGGAACTGAATGAGTTCGTTCGAGACGTTGTCATGGGACAACACGTCGCATTTGAATAGATGAAACAATTGAACAATAGGAGCCTCATAGCGTGATTATAGAGTGAACTAAGGATGTCCTTGCTGTTCACCAGCATGCACTGACCTCCCCGTGAACCTCGCGCCACCCTCCCGTCTACGTAACATAATCGCATTCGAGCCCCCCGTGTGCGTACCGGTTAAAATTCTAAAAATTTTGATTTTTCTGCCCTCTGGATCTCATTAATTAAGTATTATTATTATATACTGTGCTATATCATTTTGTAGATAATGTTATGCTGTTTAATTCTCTATAGAGCAAAATTTTTAACTAGGAGCAACCGTTTTCCAGTTTTTCACGAAAAACTAAAAAAGGGACCTTTAACCCCTCCCCCCTCCTTCAGCTCACTCCCCGCCCCTCAGTACTTTTAGTATGTTGTTCAGGATACCTTCGTTGCCTGGACTACTAGTTCAAAAGTTACAGCTGAATTTTTTTTCGAAATTTGTTTCTAGTCTGTAACTTTTGATTGAGAAGTCTGATCGAAAAAGTACGAATTGATTTGGATTCTACGCACCCAAATTAATAAGAAAAAGTGTTTTTCCGAGAAATTTTGGTGTAGTCGATTTTTGGTAAAAAAGGAAGGTTATACACTGCCTTTTTTTGAGCCCCGAAAAAAAAATTGTCTCAGATCGACCCGGAAAAAAAGTTTTCTTATAGAATGTGGCCTGTAGAATCCATAATTTCAAACAGTTCCAAGATTCGGCTACTAGTTCAAAAGTTACAGCCCTTTGAATTTTTTTTCGAAATTGATTTCTAGTCTATAACTTTTGATTGAGAAGTCTGATCGAAAAAGTACGAATTGTTTTGGATTCTACGCACCAAAATTAATAAGAAAAAGTGTTTTCCGGAGAAATTTTGGTGCAGTCGATTTTTGGTAAAAAAGGAAGGTTATACACTGCCTTTTTTTGAGCCCCGAAAAAAAAATTGTCTTAGATCGACCCGGAAAAAAATTTTCTTATAGAATGTGGCCTGTAGAATCCATAATTTCAAACAGTTCCAAGATTGGGCTACTAGTTCAAAAGTTACAGCCCTTTGAATTTTTTTTTCGAAATTGGTTTCTAGTCTATAACTTTTGATTGAGAAGTCTAATCGAAAAAGTACGAATTGTTTTGGATTCTACGCACCACAATTAATAAGAAAAAGTGTTTTCCCGAGAAATGTTGGTGTAGTCGATTTTTGGTAAAAAAGGAAGGTTATTATGCCTTTTTTTGAGGGGTGAAAAAAAAATTGTCTCAGATCGACCCGGGAAAAAATTTTTCTTGTAGAATGTGGCCTGTAGAATCCATAATTTGAAACAGTTCCAAGATTGGGCTACTGGATCAAAAGTTACAGCCCTTTGAATTTTCTTTCGAAATTGGTTTCTAGTTTATAACTTTTGATTGAGAAGTCTAATCGAAAAAGTACGAATTGTTTTGGATTCTACGCACCAAAATTAATAAGAAAAAGTGTTTTCCAGAGAAATTTTGGTGTAGTCGATTTTTGGTAAAAAAGGAAGATTGTACACTGCCTTTTTTTAGGACCGAAAAAAAAATTGTATCAGATCGACCCGGAAAAAAATGTTCTTATAGAATGTGGCCAATAGAATCCATAATTTCAAACAGTTCCAAGATTGGGCTACTATAAACAATGATAGTAGGTACCTACCGCCATTGAATAAGTAAGTCCTATGATTACTTATTCAATGGTACCGCTCTTCAATGCTGTCTGCCAACCAAGGCATCATAATCCCCATGTCCGGACCGACAATTATTTTTTGTTTGTTTATACAATGAACAACTTGCGAGACAACTAGCTTTGTATGCAAAATTGCAGCCTTGTAGCTATCACGTGAATGTATTCATTTTCGTGGCATGTCACACTTGTCTGCCAAGGGTTTGCCCTGTTCAAAGACTAGCAGAAAACTTTTTTTTGTATTTCATACTAATTGTTTATATTAAAAAATTTCAATGTTAAGTCCAGATTTGAAAAGATTGTAGAATTAATACTTTCAGACTTTCACCTTGTTATGCCAGATTATGACCGTATA